AAGAAGAAAGGAAGAATCAAGGGGAAAATCCATCACTCTTGAAAACTAGGGTTGCAAATCAAGAAAAAGAGATTTCATGGGTATTCAACCCTAATTTTGTGTAAAACATGATGATAATTGCAATGAAACCAAGAAACAAGTAACCCATAGCATATACATAAAAGTAGGAGTCAAAATATACATATATATTAGCCCTAGCATCAATGGACAAGAATGGAAGGAAACCCCATACCTTGATGTTCTTGGAGAAGCTAGGTTTGATCTTTAATCCCCTTTAGAACTCTTGTTATCCCCTTCTTTCTTCCTCTCTAAGTCTTTCTATTAGGGTTCTAAGAGGTGTGGAGTGAGAGTGGTGTGAAAGAATGAGAGTAAATGGAGTGAAAATAGGGTTTTAAAACATAAAAATCCTGAATTTTTAACGGTCTACCGGTAGTTCATATCGAGCTATCGGTAGTTCAGATCTACGGGACAGCGTACTACCTGTTGACTACCGGTAGTTCGGATCCACTGGACATCGTACTACCGGTAGGCCCTGTCCAAATTTGCCTATTTCCTCTATTTTTCATTTCAAACCCATTCCAAACCTTTCCAAATCCAACTCAAGCTTATCCAACATGCTTTTGTACATCAAACCTAGTTGATACAAGTTCTATTACAACCATTTCATATATTTGCAAGCTAAACTAAGTTTTAACTACTATTTCCTCAAATTTCCATATTAACATTTTCAAAAGAAATAACAACTTGCTACATAAACCTATATACATATATAAAGATAAAAGGGTGGGGTTTACACTATAGGGTGGAAGCAAGCCATGGAGAATGAGTATGAGGCGTTGTTGGCAAATAGTACCTGGACTTTGTGTCGGCAACCCTCATTGAAGAATTTAATCCATACTAAGTGGGTTTTATAAGGTGAAGCAACAAGAAGACAGTAGTGTGGATACGCAAAAGGCAAGGTTGCTAATTAAAGGCTTTGAGCAAGTAAATGGATTGGATTTCATAGAAACCTTCATTCCCATAATTAAACCTGCCATGGTGAGGGTAGTTCTAGCTCTTGCGGTCTAGTTTGATTGGGAGATAAGGCTGCTTGACATCTCTAATACCTTCATTCTTGGAATTTTACATGAGGATGTGTACATTGAGGAGACTCAAGGGTTAGAGAATACGAAACATCCTGACTTTGTTTGCAAACAGAACAAAGCATTTAATGGTTTGAAACAAGTTCCTCAAGCTTGGTATAATCATCTCTCTCAAATCTTGCTCCATTTTGGTTTTGTTTCCTTATCAGTGGATACTTCAATCTTTACATATCATAAGTATGATGTTCATTTATACATGCTTATTTATGTGGATGACATTTTGCTCACAGGAACTCACAACATTGTTGTCTATTCTCTCATTACACACCTGTAGCATGAGTTCAAATTAAAGGACCTTGGTCCTATTCAATTTTTTTTGGGTACACAGGTCACTAAGGATAAGCAAGGTCTTCACCTTCGGCAGAGTACATATAACTTTGGCATTCTTCATCACTCTCGCAATTTGGGAGCCAAGGAGAGCCTTGCACCATGTGTTTCTTGTGGGAAATTATCCTCACACTCTGGTGATCCTATGGAAGATGTCACTGGTTATTGACAATTGGTAGGGGCTTTACAATATTTCACATTGACACGACCTGAGATTGCATTCACAGTCAATCAACTATTTCAACATCTACATTCTCCTACCAAGAGCCACTTGATCTTAGCCAAACAAGTGCTTTGTTATTTAAAGGGTGGTGTTGATGCCGACCTACACTTTACTCGTGGTCCTATTCAGCTTCAAGCATATTGTGATTCAGATTAGGTTGGAGACCTCAATGATCGGCGTTTAACTACAGGGTATGGTGTCTTTCTTGGTCCCTACTTGATCTCATGGCGTGTAAAAAAAAAAAAGGTTTCTAGGTCAAGTATGGAGGTAGAGTACTGTGCTTTAGCAATGACGGTTGCTGAATTATACTTGTTGCACATGGTGTTCAAGGATCTTTAGATTCTTTTCTCTTTTCCTCCAACTATTTGTTGCGACAACATCGGTGCTCTAGTTTTAGCCTCCAATCCTATCTTCCACACTAGGATTAAGCACATAGAAGTTGACTTCCACTTTATTTGCAAGAAGGTAGCAAATAGGGATGTTGTTCTTCATTTTATCTCTACTATAGATCAAGTTGCTGATATATTTACTAAGGGCCTATCAAGTCATCATTTTCAACTCCTAAAGTCCAAGCTTATGTGACTCTTCTCTCCATAAGCTTGCGGAGGAATGTTAAACAGTTACACACCTCAACTGAAGCCAACTCTATAGGAAGGGGCAACCACAAACAGATGAGCTCAGTTACAGATTCAAGAAGTTCCAAAATAGAGCTTATCTCTTCAAGTTGATCTAGTTGTTATAGGATTGTATATATCCTGTATTTAAATTTCAAATTCTTGTTATCACAGTTGTAAGAGTTCTATATAAACATCAATATATCAACGGGTTTGTAACAATTGAAAAACCCTTTCCTTCAAAGGTTTTCAACCAATTTGGTCTAGCTATGTTGGTCAATTATGCCAACTAAGATAATGGGTCAATCTTTGTCAAGGCAAAATTTGAGTTCTTATGTTCCTCTTTTTCGGGGTTCTATTGTGCCTCTTTCAGGTTTCTCTTCACTCATCTGTGGATGTTTTGTTCTCTATTACGAGCAACAAATAATTTAGCTAATAAATAATAAATATCTTTATGAATTCTATAAAAAGAATATAAAGTATGCGTAGTTAACTTAAATGACATCTCATATGTTTTAAGTTTACGTTCATATAATCCACATCAAGTTCCATGGTAAAGTGATTAAAGCTAGTAATAAAAATAATAATAATAAAAGAATTCCATGCTTTGATTAAATACCATTCTATACATTCTAAAAAGATTAGATATGGTAAATGTTGTACGAGTGAAAAAAAGTTTATATTTCAATTTAGAATGTTAGTGTTGTCTTATTATATTCTTAGAGCTCGTTGGTAGACGTATTATGAGGAGATTAAATATTGGATTGTACTATTTTTTTATTTAATCGGGGCTAATACTTTGCTTGGTAAACAGATTTGATACCGTATTAATTTCAAAAATGTATACTTATCATATATTTTTTATATGATAGACTTGCATTATGGAGGTTATTTAATACCACCAAAAAATGTGGTATTATAATTCAGCTCAAACGTATTATTCTACACATTTATTATTATAACCTTTCAAGTGATAAATTCAAGTTGTCATCAATGTAACAAATAATGATTGAGAATATTTTTGTTAATTCAACATTAATACGATGAAATAATTCTCTAACCAAACAATCAATTGAATTGAATTACTACTATCCAAGTTTATATTGTGTATTGTCAAACATTAGATAAAATTAAGTATTATTCTAATATCATATTTAATTTTGTCTTTAATCCATCTGTATTGTGTTAGACTGTATTACTTTATCTAATTCATCCATTTTTAATACGGCAACCAAACGAGCCCTTAATGTAATATATTAATCCCATTTTTTTTATTTAATGTTAGATTTAGATTTTTTTATTATCTAAATTATAATACACACACACACACATAAATAAAGGGATATTTATTTGAATGTTATTGTTATCTTAGAGTATTATTCAAGCCATCTCAAATACTAACCCAAACTTTTTTCATGAAATGTGAAATTTAGTAGTTTTTATTTTATTTATTATCTTTATTATCTAAATTATAATATATAGGGATGTCTATGTCTTTTAAACCCTTAAATGGTACTAGTGTTATAGGTATGAAAGGATTTATGTATTTTTGCATTACTAAATAATAGTAATGTAATTAAGTAATTTTAATTAAGGTATTCTAGTCTTGAAATAATAAAAAACAATTGTCTATATTGCAATTTAGAATTTCACTGTTGTCATAATATATTCTTTGTTTAATATACTAATCCAATGTTTTTTAGGAAATGTGAGATTTTGGAGTTTTACTTTATTTATTACTTTTATTATCTAAACTATAATATATACTAACAAATAACCTATGTTTAAAGGCACTACGTAACACAAAAATTTGAAAATAGACTATGTAATATAATTATTTCAAATAGAAATGTGATTTTTATTCCATTACACAATTTGAAAACAATCTAGGCCCATTATTTTTTTAGAAAAAAAATATCGAGAAAATTTTCTCTGAAAATAGGACCCCAAAAATATTTTGAAAATTGTTGAAAACTAAAATTTTTGTACCTTTTTTGTCAATTAGTTAAAAGCATTGACTTTTTTAAGTCATTAAGTCCAACTCAACTAAACTTTTTTGTTCTCTAGTCCAAACTAATTATTTTATTACTTTTTTGGGGGGGGAGAAGGGGGGAAGGAGGCTTGAACCCTTGACCTCAAGAAGAAAAAATCTTCATAAAATGAGTATCATTAGACCAAAGGCCCATTTTATTACATAAAATTCACTTTTAATCCCTAAAATATGTGTGCAGTGTCTATTTAGTTAACAATCTTCCAATTGTGTCTATTTGGTCTCTAAGGCTCCTAATTTGTATCTATATGGTCCAATCTCAAACGTTCGTAAAAAAATCGTTAATATCTCTAGTCATGTGCCAATCATGTGAAATCAAATAGACACAAATTAGGGACTTTAGAAATCAAATAGACCCAAATTGTTATTTTATTTTTTATACTAAACGATATTTTTTCGTTCTTTTTTAATATGGAGAATCTTGTAAGAGGGTCAGTTGCAAGAAATATGGGCACACCTTCGTCCACGTACAAGCATTTGATACTCCTAAAGCAAATTTGGGTAGGAGTCAACAACATTGTTGCCAGTTCTTCGAGCCCATAAAGTTGAGAAGCTAACAATGTTGTTTACATAGTTATTGATTTGATCTACAAACTTGCCTTCTTCTGAAAGCTTAGACTTCTTCCTCCGCACTATATCAATGATCACTCTTTTTTTGTGGGAGGGAGAAAGGGACTTGAACTCAAGAAGGCGAAGCCTTCATAAGACAAGGAGTACCAATAGACCAAAGGCCCATTGGTGATCACTCTATAATCTCCCTCAAGAATGATCTTTGTATACCTTGCTCCCGTTGTGAGCCTAACTGCAGTTGCAGCCTCCACATGCTCAACCCTTACTATACCTTCTAACTTTCGACAATACCCTATTATAAAATTCCCCTTCAAAGCTCGAACAACGATGCCAATGCTTGAGCATTTGCTTCCCTTGAGATCTCCTCCATCAAAGTTTATTTTCATAATTCCTTCCAGAGGAGGAGACCATAACACCAGACTTATGGGGGGATGTACAACACCACTGGGATCCCGACACCCAACAAATTGAACGAGTTAATTTTGCACAAATTTCACAATTTGAGCGGGGGAGTTAGTTTCTTCTCTAGCCTTCACTCGGTTCATGTTAAACGACAAAGCCCAAGCCACAACGACTATTAGACCCAGCTTCTCAACTTGAACGATCCCCAAGATACCCACTAGCCAATCTGCGAAAGAATGGATATTCCTAGGGGGGATATGTCATGCCCCAAATTTCCATCACCCTGGGCAATGAGTGAAAAGGGAGAAGAAAAGTAAATGAAAGGTCATTAGGTTGGATAAATTGGTTTCTCATTCATTTCCCATATTTTTCCAAAGTTTTTCAAGCCACGGTTCTTCCATTTTTTGCCTATTTCTTCAAGGTTTCTAAATCCTCCCTTTTGACATCCTTCCTACCTATTTAAAAGGTGTTTAACACACTTAACAAGTCTTTTAATTTTCCATAAAATTTTGACATAACCTCCTTTGTTTCCAAGCCTTTTTCCACCTAATATTCACAATATGTCATATGCATTATTATATAACAACCCACCCTCACTCAGTGGCCACAATCCATCTAAATTAAACATACATCCATTGTTTTCAACACACACATATAATACTCATTACATAAAGACATCCTACATAACAATTAGGTTACACCCTTACACTTTAAAATGATCCAAGGTCTAAATCCATTACTTTTTCAAATTGAAATATAGATCATTTGGGCTTATGCCCATACATACAAAATATCCCCAAAGGCCAAATATCCATTCAAGTCCTTTTTTCCCTCCTTCCTTTAAGACTTCCTCAAGTCTCAAGTATTGGGAGCCTCATTTGTAATATGATATCCCACGAATGAGTCAGCTCAACTGTTGGTATGACAAAGTGCTAACACTAGGAACAATTTAAGGCATGGCATATGCCAGTACACATTTTAAAAAGTTACAACCTTGTAATCCCTCAATGCTATGCAATATCAATATGCATGACACACCCATGCAACTCTATGCCACCCATGTCTCATTTCACGGTCGGCCCCCGTTAGCCTGTTAGTACTGTCATTGGCCAGATTTTGGATTTTTCAGCACAGGATCTACACCCTCATAATGCATAGCACCAAGTGCTCAACCCACACTATGTTCCAAGGATTCGTGTATGACAAGATGCCTTGATTTTTCTCAGTGTGAATTTTATGAAACATTTCATCAAACACCTTATCTACATGAATGTGAAGCACCATTCAATGGATTGAACATATGATCAAGCTTCATATTCATTACTTTCACAATTTCTCAAAGAAACTACAAATACACAAACTACCAACTCATGTAATAAATCATAACTCTCAAACCACAAGAGTTTCTTTACATGAGCATAAGCTAGAATATAATAATCCAATACATAAGAAATATACACATTTACCATAGCAACAAATTGTCAAGAAACTCAAAAAAACACAAAAGTACTTAAACCACAAATTCTATGTTTTCAATGCAACTATCAACTAAATAATTTTCTAACATCAAGTAAATACCTAAATCATCCAATCAACACATAGGAAGACAAGAAAACTTAAAACTATTTCTAACTTAGAAAAATATTATACCTAAAATGATTTTTCTCAAACCAAGAGAGTTGTGTTTGTTTTGTAGCCTAACTGATCAGTAAGAATATAGCCCTTGTTGAGAGGAACAATTTCTTAGAAGTCTTGCAAAAATCTTGGTCTAGGAATGAGTTTTGGTGGCTTGAAGCTTAAAGAACCTAGAGTTTTTCTTCTTTTTTCCTCCAAAAATGTGTACTGACCTTTTTCAACCCAAAAAATTATATGTTTACACTAAGGGGGCTTATTTATAGTGGAGGGTCAAAGGTACAAAATGACCCTTTTGCCCTTCATGAATCCGGGACCCCCATTACATTACAACTTGTCTTGAAACGCCTCAATTTGACATTTTATTTTAACCAAAGTTCTTAAAATTATTTTGAATGATAACTTTCAAAAATATAGATTTTCGCTAGTGGCCGGGTTTACCTTTTTTGTCTAATTTTTGAAACTATTTCTGTTTAGGCTCAAATTTGCACAGTAGGTGTATTTTAACATTCTAAGCATGTTTCTCTTTTATAACATACTCAAATCATTCTCCTAAATATGACTTATGCCTAAATGATATATATGTAATGCCCTACCGGCAAATGGTGCATGAATAGTGCCCTACCGACAAAACTGAAAAATTTATCCTCACTTTTTTAGATCTCTACAGGATATGCCAACGATCAGTCATACAACTCCCGTACGGGCACTTGTTTCGACAAATGAGTCACAAAGAAAATAGTTCCTATCCATTCTTATGCCTCTTTGCTGCAAGTTACATTTGGTGGAAAGTATATCATGGATAGCTCTCCAAGCAAAATTCTTAATTTTATTGGAAATATTTAGAGTCAAGATAAAATTCCCAATCCAATTGGTATTACAGCTACTTGGTACCCCACTTCCGTTATGTCCACCACATAAACCATGCTCAATGATGAGGTGATAGGCCCTTTTAACTAAAAATGCTCCTGACTTTGTATAATGCCATGTTAGCCTATCCTTTGGTAGTTGATCACAATTAGGTATTCCTGCAATATCAACCACTTTAAAAGGGAGAAAATGTTTCTGCAACGGGTCTGAGTCAGTCATGGGGATATAAAAAAATTCTGCTATTTGGAAATTGAGACACCCACAAAATGAAACCCAGATGTTCATTTATAGTAAACGGGTGAATACTTCCATTACACCATGTAAATTGCACAACATGAAATCCCAAATCCACCAATTCGCATACATCAATGACTCCTCTGTAATCTCATAGTTGCCATGGTGTTTTAGGCACACCACCCCTCTTCTCATTGCAGTTAATGATTTCATTAAAATCACCTAATGATTTCATTAAAATCATCTCTGCAAATCCACGACATATCAAACCGAGAATGTAACCTACATAATAGTTCGCAATATCTCTTCCTCTTAGGAGTATTAGGATGGCCACAAATGTGATGCCCTTAAAAGCGGGGGTCCCTTATCAACCTGTTGATCACCCATCAACCTATGAAAGTACCCATGAATGTCGCATAATCCGACACCACGTCAAACCATCTCCTTCACCAGTATCGTAACCAACACAGAGTTTGGGAAGAGTCTCCCATGTATGGGGCACTCCCAAACTCATAACATGTATACATTTCAATCACTTGATCATTCCAAGGTCCAATATACATTACTTTTTCCTTAATATTACTCCATTTACATCCTTTGAACAAAAGGGCTCAAGGCTCGCAGGCTTAGCAAGGGTATTTTGAATTCTTGAAAATTTTGGAGGAGCTAACTGTTGCTCGTGTACTTGCTACCAGTAACTGAGCCTTCTGCCAGTGAGCTACTGATAGCTGTGAACCGAGCTATAGGTAGCCGAGCCCACTACCCGCGACCTACCAGTAACTCGCAAAACGAGTTACCAATAGTTGCCCACTACAATTGTGCTACCGGTAGCATGGCCCAAATTTTCCCCAATTCAATCATTTTTCAATTTTAACTCACCCAATCTCATACAACATTTACCCAAACTCACATAGCATCAATGTTTACATAAAATATAGTGCATAAAGGTTTATTATACAACCCTTTGAACACTATTACAAGTCCAAAACAATTTACACCATTGTTTTCTAAAATACAAGCTTAAAGCTACACGTTGGGTTCTTCTCAACAAGGTCCCATGTGAGGGCCATCCACAGACGCTTGTCCTACACCTGAAATATTGTCCCCATAAAGGGTGGGCCATGCTCAATCGGTTATCTCCTAAAGAGGCTACCTCCCAACTCAGATGCATATGAAACGTTTATATGTAATTCAAGTATAAAACAAACATTCATCCAAGACTATACAATTTCAAGAAATGAATGTCACAATGTCATGCCATGTTATAACACGAGACACACACATGCGATACAACTCAAGTCCTCCACTAGATCCCAGAACACATGCAATATCATGCATATGTATCTAGGCATTCTAAGTCCCCCGCCATTGATGTCACACATTCAATGACCATTTATAAATTTTTGAGTCTTTCTTGGGGTGGGTATTTATGGACTTCCACCAATGGGAACCCAACCGACACAACCTCTATGAACTTCCACCAATGGCTCCTCGTAAGCTGACACACTTTATGGACTTAATAGGAAGGAAATGTGTATCCAAATCACCGAGTCTTGCACCTAAGGGATAATCTAGCCGTTCTTACTAACCCGAACTCTATTTTCAATGCAACTTGTGCGACACAGTCGAGCCTTGGGCCAACTTTCCCAAGCCCACGCATCAACCAATCAAGGATGTTGATTGATCAAAATCATGCACACACACCCACACTCATATCAAATACCCACAAATGTTATGATTTCCATGCATATGCAAGTTTAATGAACCATCACATTTCATATCATTATGTAACTAAGTTTTTAATTTGTAATTACAACATCATGTTCAACATGTCATGGACAAATCCTCAATGTAACTTATATCATATTACATTACAATTATCATCACAAAGTATGTTATATCAATTTCATTCAAATAACATACTTAATCAATCATAGGCATTTTATCAAACACCTAAAAGCACAAAATCATGTAAACACATAATCATGCCCAATTTATCACATTCTCATGAGATCAACCAATGAGCAATTCTCAACAAACCCAATTCATGCAAAATTGATTTTATTCAACCTCATACCATGTCTCATACTCTAGTTACACTAGAAATACATTTAGACAAGAGATTTCATCTCAAATCATGCTATCCATTTCATATGAAAACCTAGGTTCAAAATAAACCTAGCTAGGAGAAGAACCCTATCTCTTGATGCGTAATACGAGTGGTAGAAACTCCAAGAAGCCCGAATCAAGATTCAAATCTTGATTTCCAAAAATTTCATATTTGAGACTTCAGCAAAATTCCCGAT